GAACCAGGTGGGAACAGTAAGGCCACAAGTCCAATTTTAGCTCCACTCAAAGAAGTATTTTCAAATGAGTTTAATTATTTAATAACGGACAACCAGAGAGGCAAAAAGGGTAAAAAATGTTCTCTCTTGCAGGAAGCAATAAACTAAGGCCTTGACAATTTAATGGAGGAAATGGGGTCCCACGTTATGGGGGGAAATTGTGATCATCATCCTACCTAACCATGGCTACTCTCTCAAGAAATCTGTTTGGAAAGAGCCCACCAACTGCTTCTCATCAAATTTTAAAGTGTAGCTACAAGGATTCATAGCTTTCTGTTAAAACAGTTTTGTCAGAATGTCCACTTGATATTATTTTATTTTCCTGGCTGTTATGAATTCAATCTTCAACCTCAGCGTCACCTCCTCCTCTAGAAATGGGATGGCCTCAGGATCCATGGTGCCCTGGTCTTGGATTGGACTTGAGATACACAGTATGCATGGACCGTGGTGAGAATCATGAAGGTATCCAGGGAAGGGACATGGGCAAAGGCCATAAAGAAGGAGAGAAAAGCATTTCTTTGCTTCTGGAGCAGCAGGAGACGAGGTCAGATACCACATCAAGAGCAAGCAAGAGGCCATATCATGGAGGGTCTTGGAGGCCGTCATTAGGACTATGGATTTTATCCCAAGTGTGATGGGAAGCCATGGGCAGGATTCAAGGAAAGCAATGTCAGGACTTGACTTATATTTTTAAAAGTTCACTCTGGCTGTCACACGGAGAATATCCAAAGGGAAGTAAGGATGGAAGAGAGGAGACGTGGTTTGCAATAATCAAGGTAACACATGGCTTTGACTAGGGTGGCAGGGATAAGCAATGAAATGTGATCAAACACATTTTGTTTTAAAATAGAGCCAATAGGATTTACTGATCAGACGTGGGTGGCAAGAGAAAGAGAGGAGTGAAGGACGAGTCTAAGGCTTGGTGAATGAGAAAATTAACTGAGATGGGGAACATTAGGAGAGGAGGATGTTGAGTGTGAGTTTGGAAAGGAGGAAAGCAGAGAGATGGTAGGTATCTGGGTGCCACTGATGTGGCCAGTGAGAAAGCTTAGTGCCAGAGTAGCTGAAAGAAGTGAATAAAAACAAGTGGATTGGAGTGTGTTTTCTCGTCATTGGCTTGGGTTGTTTGCTGCGTACAATATAATGCAACTCCTCCTCATTGCAATCCTCAATCCTTCAGCAAAAGTTCTTCTACATGCCATGCCACAGCCATATATATGGATTTGCATTGACCGGGACAACCAAAAAGAAATAACCATCCACTCACTGCATGACAGGAAGATTTCTTCCAAAGATTAAGAACCAAAAGCAAATCCAAGAACAAGAATCTGTGAGAGACAAGAAATCTAAGTCAGAGAGGGTGGTAAAAATGTAGACCCCCAAGTTATCTGCAGACATCTTGAGGACGTGTTTGGGCTTCTACAGAGTATGGAATAAGGATTTGAGCCAAATTCGTCCAGATCTCAGGAGGCCAAGAAATTCCAGCTCACATCTGTGACATGAATATATCTATAAAAGACTATGGAGAATGAAATATATCAAACTATGAAGAGGTAGGTGCACAATTATGGATAATCTTCTTTTCTTCCTCATTTTCTCTAAAGTTTCAAAATTGTCAACAGTGAATATATTTTATAATCAGAAGAAATATATTAGAAGTAAAAACTATAAAGTGGAATCCTATAAATTTCTGCTTTTCTCCTGGTATGCATTGAATGCATAAGAGAGTAGGAGAGGCTCCTCCCTGTTCTACACAACACGTTCCTAATGGCAGAGTTTAAGCTGAACAGTAACACATCAGAGTTGGGCTGCATATCAACACTAACACCTACGTACCTTGACATGTGCTGGGTCTTGGCTGTATCTCCACCTACCCTAAGCCTGTGCTGATGATATATGAGACCTAAGCACAGGATTGGTCCTTATCCCCACTAATGTTTCGTTTTCTAGGATTCAATCTCAAGTTGTAACCTGCAGAGACCTTTTCTGAGTCTGAGTCTGTCTTCCAAAACATTCGCTGACCCTCCCCACTTGGCCCTGGAAAACTGAAACAGGCATGCCATCTACAACTCCTTTTCTTCATTCTGCTATAATGTCTAACACTTACTGAGCATGTTCCATGGGTCAGGCAGTGTTTTAAGGGCTTTACATGTATTAGCTCATTTAATCCTAATGCCTTACAAGATAGGTGCTATCATGGTTCCCATTTGACAGGTGGAAAAAATGAGGCATCTGGAGGTTAAATATCTTATCTAAGATCTCATCAAATCAAGTGGCAGAGGCAGGATCTGGCTCCCTTCTTTTCAACACCAACCAATCCAACCTCTCAAGAGGGTATTGAGGGCCTACTCTGGGCCAGGCTGTCTAATATTGGTCCAGACACAGAGAGAAATAAGCACCTCCCTTCAGAGAGCCTGGAGGGTGCTGTGGTTAAATATGGTCAGTGCTGTAGGTCCTACCCTGGCTTTCCTACTGTGGGACCTTGAGTAAGTGACTTATCCCCTCTGTTCTTCAGTTTCCTCATCTGTAAAAGGAAGCTGAAAATAATACCTACCTTATGGGACTACTGGGAAGATTAAATGTGTTAACACAAGTAAGGCACTGAGAAGAATGCCTGGTATATAATAGGTGCTCAATTAGTGTTTTTTATTATTATTATTATTAGGATATAATAACGTTGTAGGATATAATGAGACACAAAGAAGGGAGTGCTCAGTTCTTTCTAAGAGATCTTCAGAGAGGTGCCGAAGCCTGAGTACTGGAGAAGGAGCAGCGCTTTTCTAAATGTCAGCAGCAGGGAAAAAACTCAGGCTCTCCAGGCAGTGGGGACCGCAGGAGCCAAGGCCTGGAGGCACGCAGGGATGCACAGCGGCGTGTCTTCACTCCCCATCGGCATCTAACCACAGGGTGTGACTTTCCCTCCACCCAGGAAGTGGGAGCAGCCTCCACCACCAACCTGAGCAAACCACCCTAATTTGTGGCCTCTGGGGTGAGAGGGAAACTGAAGACTTTCTAGGTTTCAGCTCTGTTTAGCGCTGGAAGAGTAGAAACTTCTGCTTCAAAGAGAAAAGGCATTTGAAAGGCTTATGAAAGGGCTTATGAGCCTTCTTGTACATCAAACACGCCTTACAAAGCAACATTTTGATGAGTTAAGTGCAAATGAGTCAGAAACACCAGGATTAAATTTCCCTTGAAATACACATCGGTTTAAAGATTAAGGGAAATTGCCTGACGAAACGTGTTTTGGGTTAAACACTACAAAGTAGTTCAAGTTGGTTCCTGTCTGCCACTTCCCCTCTATTATTAGTGTAAATAACAACAGAAATAATACTATCAATACTGTTTGATACACTTTTAGCTCACTCGGGTTTATGGGAGGCTTCTAGGTAGGTGCATGAAACATTGAAATGTAATGATAGAAATAGAAACCTGTGCAAGGAACTAAGATGGCGCTGCTGAGACTGGCAGCTGTCCATTAAATCAGCTTCTGGTTTCGTCCTCTATTACAGCTGGACGACATCTCCCAACAGAACATGGGCAAAAGCAGCGTATGTCACTTCTAGGACTGACCCATGAAGAGCCTCCATGTGTTTCTCTGCTCTCTCTCTTTCTCCAACCGTCAGCTGGACATTGATGCTCAGGGTAACGTTGGAGGTCACATGTTGAAGACGGCAGACTCCTTGTCAATCCCAGTGCCAGAGGGCTTTATGTGAACACAAAATAAACTTTTGTTGGGTGACGCCATCAAGGTTTCAGGACTTCTTGTTACAGTAGCTACTGTCAATTTAATGAAGGCAGATAGATGACAGGCCACAAGGTAGAATAAAAAGAAATTTGGATCATAAACCAGGACACCGGAGTTCTAATCTCTGCCTCAAATATGCAGTGTGGGGCTCTGGGCAAGGCCTTTCCCGCCCTCTGGGTCGCAGTTCCCCTGCTGGTAAAATGAGGAGATTAGGCTACGTGCTTGCTGAAGCCTAGCTGTAATGTTTAAGACTAAATGATTCTAAATCACAAATTTCAAATTGAATTCCACTCTAGTCAACAAAGTTTTATTAAACACCTACTATTTCCCAGGCATTGGGGCTGCAGATAAATAGAGCCAGGCATTTAGGGTATATGCTTGAAGATGAATGATTATAATATAAAATAGCAGAAAGTAAATGGATGGATAGATAGATAGATAGATAGATAATTGAATGAATGAATGAGTGAAACAGACTGTAGCCAGCTTTCCCTGGGGGAGAGTGGAAGTATAAATGAAAGCCACTAGGAGACAATGACATTTGAACTAGGCTTGGAGGAGAGAAGGCTACTATCAGGCTGACATAGTGGGGGGGGGGCCTATTCCAGACAGATCCAGGGACTTCATAGCTGAAAGGGCTCTTATTTCACAGATGGAGAAACTAAGACCCAAGGGAATTAGTTAGACACATAGCTGATTAGTAACAAACATAGGGGTCATTAACAAATTCTCTAGAATTTTAGTCTTGGTCCAGATTTGAGATTCAAAGGACTGGGTCAAGGCTGCCAACTGACCTGTCTGGCCCTGCTAGTCTACACCACCAAATGGCCATCCATTGACAAAACCGTCCACATCATTCTACTGACTTTTCTCGAACTCACCATCTCCCCATCCATTTTATTTGACATAAGCATGGGACTTTACAGTTGCCCCAATAAATTTCATATTTGAAAAACTCAACCCATAATTCTACTCTGGCTGTGACCCAACAACTTGTTCTCCCTTCAGGTCTCGTAGCACCATAGTAACAACCATGACTCCATCAAGTCATTGATACAAAGAATAAGTGGGATGAGCCCAAAGACAGAGTGTGGAACCTGCCACAGAGGCTTTCCTACAGGTGAGCGAGTCTGACATCAGGGAGCACCCCTTAAAGATGAGCAGGTATCCCCACGGGGCATGGGGTGAGAGGAGATGGCTTAATCCATTCTGGCTGCTATAACAAAATACCACAGTCTGGATGACTTATAAACAACAGAAATCTATTTCTCACAGTTCTAGATGCTGGAAGTTCAAGATTAAGGTGCTAGCATGGTCGAGTGAGGGCCCACTTCCAGGTCACAGACTTCTGGTTGTATTCTCGTGTGGTGGGAGGGGCTGGGAGCTCTCTGGGGTCTCTTATAAGGGCACTAATCCCATTCATGAGGGGGGTTCCCAAACACCCCACCTCCTAATACCATCACATTGGGCATTAGGATTTCAATATATGAATTTGGAGGGGACACAAACATTCAGACCATAGCAGGAGGTATATTCATCTTCCATGGCTGATGTAACAAATTGCCACAAACTTAGTGGCTTAAACAACACAAATTTATTTATCCTACAGTTCTGTAGGTTAGAAGTCCAACAATGGATTTCACTGGGCTGAAATCAAGGTGTTGGCAGGACTGCATTCCTTTCTGGAGGTTCTGGGGAGAATACATTTCCTTGCTTCTAGAGGCCACCAACGCCCATCCTTAGTGCCTAGAACAGCACTTAGTGCCAAGTAGATGTTCCTCCCAAGCTTCTAGAGGCCACCTGCATTCCTTGGCTCATGGCCCTTTCCCTCTGTATTTAAAGCCAACAACGGCTATGGAGACCTTCTCACATTGCATCACTCTGACCTCCTTGCTGCCTCCCTCTTCCAGTTTTAAGGATCCTTTTGATTAAATTAGGCTTACCTCGATAACCCACGATAATCTCCCTGTTTTAAAGTCAGCTGATTAGCATCCTCACTTCCATACACTGCCATAATTCTCTTTTGCCATTTAATTTAACATATTCATGAGTTCCAGGGATTAAGACATGGACATCTTTGGGGGACCATTAGTCTGACTACTACAATAGGGACAATGTCAATTCATTCTTTCATTCTCTATTAAGTGCCCATTGTATGCCGTTCACTGCTCTGGGGTCTGAGGATTCAGTGGGTAACAAGACAGACCTTTTCCCTGCCTTTGTAGAACACACAGTCAAGTGTGTGTTCTACAAAGAAAAAGACACAGAAGAGGGAACCAACCAAGAATGCTGGGTGTCACAACAGAGGAAGTGAGGAAAATATCTCCAAATAGAATGTATCTGTATCTTTTTGCCTTGCTTTGTACCTTAAGCCCAGATTAAGAGTCAGGAAGCATCCCTCAATAGGCTGGTTTCTCTATCAGAAAAAGAAAAGAAAAATAAACAGGGTTTATTTTTAACGAACATGCATTGGCTCTGAATGATCACTGCTTCCTTTTCTAGTCTGACTTTATTATAGCTTAATTTGGATTCTTGTTTGGCTGGAACATCTGCCGTGTACAAAAGGGTGGTCTAGGCGCTGAGGATAAAATGGTGTGAGAAGACTGGCTCCTGCCGTGACAGATTGTAGAGCCTAGTGTTAGGTGAAGACGAGTGTGCAGGCAACCACAGCAACATGTGACAGACAATGTCTTTACTCATCAATGTGGGGTCATGGATAGCGGGACAGGGTGGGCCAGGGTGACGTGGCAGATGTTGCAATACACGGACAAGAAACCACAGCCAGGGATTCACGGTTCAGCAAGAGTCAGTAAGAGAGTCTGCTTTGAGACGTCAAGAGGTCCACGCTATAGACAGTCTGAGCCCGAAGGCAGATATTGGATTCCGAGGATCAAACTAGCCCATGGGGGCAGGCAGAGGGGAGTCAAAAGGGTACCAGGAGTAAAACTCTTGGAGCCAGTCCCCAGAAGGCACTTCTGCCCAACAATATGAGCATAAAATGAGACTCAACTAGGAGAGGTCTTCTTTGGCCTCCACAGGTATGTGAGTGCTGCCAGGTCTGGGGGTAGATGCTGGTCCAGCATCAAGGGAGCCCTCTGGGTTCTGGTAAAACCTTCTTTTCTGGCTCAAATTAGTCTCCCTCTTTCGGGTCTCCTTCAGTGTGTCGCTGGGGTTTCCAACCGTCACATTTTCTCCAAGGTGGCAATGATGCATTAGGAAATCAGAGGTAGCTGCCATCAAGGCCACTGCTGCACAGGTGGGCAATCCATGCTTCTTCATATTGCTACCTTATAATTCAACATCTGGGGTGAGGGTGAGCACTTGGGTCACAGGACCGCGACCTCGCTGCAGGAGAGACCAGGAAAGCAAGCATCCACCAAGTCCAACATCTGTCGTAGCATTCTATCTCTGCTCCTAAGGTGGGGGACTCCCAAAACAGAGAAAAGGAAAGCCAAAATCTATGGGCTGCCACAGCAGTTGGGAACACTTTCAGCAGCAAGTTACAGAATATCCAGTGTTTCTAAGTGACTTAAACAACAAGAAAAATATATTGTCTGACATAACAAGATATCCATAGGTAGGTGACTCTAGAATTTGCCCAGAGGGTCAACTACATCATTAAAAACTTGAAATCTTCCCAACTTTCTGCTTTGTTATTCTCGCTAATTGTCTTGGTCATTAGGCTTCTTCCTTTATGACTGCAAGATGGCCTCCACATGCCAGGCATTTCTTCGTCTAGGATTAGGTTGTATACACTGGTTGATTGACTTTATAACTGCTTCAGTTCTTCTCTTCCTTCTGTATTTACACCGTTTACCATAAGCCTATGTATTTTCCCTTACCTAAGTTAACACAGAGTCTATTTCCCCCTCCCTTGAATCTAGGCTAGACTTGTAATTTACTTTGGCCAATTGAATGCAGTATAAGTGACAACGTGCTAGTTCTAAGCCTGGATCTTAAGAGGCCATGTGTATTTCCACTTCTTAATCCTCTACAATTGCTCTGAGAACATGCCTAGGCCTCCCTGATGGAGGATGAGAGACACATAACTCAGTCACTCCAGTTGTCCCCAGTGGCAGCCAGCCAACTATCAGACATGTGAGTGTGTCCAGCTAAGACCAAAAGAAAAATACAGCTGAGCTCTGACTAAATCAACAGTCCCAGTCATGAGCTAAATAAATGCTTGTGGTAGTAAGCCACTGAGTTTGGGGGAGGTTTGTTACACGGCACTATTATGGCAATAGATAACTAACATAAACATCCATGCTGCAAGGGAGGCTGGGGAAACAATATCTGGTATCTTCAGCCTCAGTAATGAGAAAGAATAATGGCTACTGGGTAGGCAACCAACAATGTCTGCCCCAGCAGCCAAGAGGAATGAAAAATAACCATAAAACCAGGGAAAAGGGTAGACAACACCAAATGCTTCTATGTAATTCTTCAAAAGGGATTGGCCAGTGGGTGAAGGGTTAAGCAGGGAATGAGATCAAAGTAGCCAAGTCCTTATGCAGCCAAGATTTATCAGGTCTTTCTGTCTGAGTTGTGATGATAAATAATCAGGGACTGTATTATCAGCAAGACAATTGCAAAATCATGGGACGACTCCCAAGATTTCAAGAATTTATGAGCCTCTGGAAATAGTCTGTGTTAATGCACTTCTCTCAGGTCACTTCAGCAGACTTTGGACATTCACATTCTACTACATGAGTCATCTTTGAGCTGAGTCCCCATACCTGGAAAATCCCCCAAGATTACTCACACAGCTCACCCCCGGGCGTGGTCCACACCGAATCCCACAGCAAAAAGTGGAGTCAACTTCCATCCTTGGCTGTTAAGACTTTGGAGTCTTTCAGAAATCCTTGTACTTGTGCTACATTTTCTATTTCCAAATAACCTCCATCATCTCTTGGAACCCTTACCTCCACCACAGGAGGTTGAAATTAACCGTAATCTCAAATGAGAACACCAAGGACTGAGAGGTTGTCCCTTGCCAGAGGTGATAAGCAGGATGAGGAGAAAGCTCTAACTCTTTCTTCCCAGCAGCTTTATCCAGAATCTCCCTATGTCTTTCCCTTTCACTTAATTTAGGTCTCTGCTCAAACACTACCTCATCAAGGAGAACTTCCCAAACCACCATTTCTAAATTGCCACCCTTGTGTCCTTCCCTTACTCTGTTTTACTTTTGTTAATGACTCTTATCACTACCTGCCATAATATCACATATTTCTCTATTAATTTTTAGCAAGTCTCCTCCATAAGAATGCAAACTGTCTAAAGGCAAGAACTTTGTTATGCTTACAGCTATATTCCCAGTGCCTATGACAGTGACTGACATATAGTAGGCAGTTAATAAATATTTGTTGAAGAAATGAATGAAAGAATGAGTAAATGAATGAATATGATAATCAGGTTGATCTTCCATTCTACTTCTGTGGAAGCACAGAGCCTTCCAGAGTCATCCTAACTCTGACCTCTTGCTTCTATAGAATGTTCTGTATTAATGGAACATCTCCTTCCTGCTCATATTCTGCCTCTATCCCACACCACCTAGACCCAAGGAGAAACTCAAATCCTTCCTCTATTGCCACCAGAAACATCTCATGCACAGAACATTCTTGGGGATAGTCAACTTTACTGATCATTTGGGGTAGGGAGTTCTAGAAGGGATTTATGTCATATGAATACAAACAATTTCATATCACACACAGACATCACAGTTTTTAACATGTCCTCTGGTCCCACCACCATCACGGAATTTTCCCCTGCCACTTCTCCCAATCCCCAATCCCTCTCACCACCTCAAGCTCTCTTTCTCCTCTCTGCATCCCCCACCTTTCCTTCCCTCCTCTCCCCTACCTTCTTTACTCAATTCCTCTCCTCTCTCCTCCTTCCCTTCCTTCTCACTCCTCCTTCCTAAGTAAAACAGAGCACTTTGGGCTACTCTTTCCAATGTTCTACCTCCTATGGCCCCTATGCCCTATGAAGATATTTTCACAAATAAAGACAACCCCTTCCCTAAAAGAAATTCAGATCCCTCCTGCATTTTAAGTATTTTTCTCTGCTACACTGGGAAAAGTAGAAGAGGAGCGGAGCTCGTTAGTGAATAAGCACAAAGCCAGTTGGAGAGAACTACCTACCATTTCTGGTACACCTACCACATTCATTACCTTATGTAAGACTCACAGACACAGCATGACACAGAGACTATTTTCTCCATTACAGAAGTTAGATAACTGAGTCTCAAGGAGAATGTAACCTGCCTAAAGTCACTGAACAAGTACGCAATTGAATAGGATTCAAATTCAGATCTAAGTCCTAATGATGGCAGTGACTATCCTACCCACTATGTGACTGGGAAGTTAAGTTCATGAAATAATTTCATGAGGATACCAGAAGGGAAGAAAAGGGTCTCCCATTCTCCACTCCAAACCTTAGATCCATTTTTAGATTTTCCACAAGCATCTCAAAATCAACCTGCACAAAACTGTCTGTCTTCACCCCACCTGCTCGTCTCCTGATTTCAGCAAACAGCATTCAAGCCAGGAACCCAGGAGTCTTCCTGGAGTGTCCTGCTCCTTCACCTCTCACATCTAATCTTCGTTTAGTCTCCCTAACTATCACTCAGCCCAGCACCCACCCCCTTGCCCACCTCCTCTGCCACAGTCCTGGCCAGTATATATCATCTCTCCTCTGGACAATGGCAGCCATCCCCCCTTACTTATCCCCCTCCACCTCCAGTCTACCCTCAACATAAACTGCTGCCAATGGGATCTTTATAAAACACACGTCTGATTGTGTGACTCTTTTGCTTACAAACCTTCCATGGCTCCCCATTGTCTTAGGAAAAGGACCAAATTCCTCCATCTGGTCCACACAGCCCTTCAAGATTTGGCCCTATAAGTGTTCCCACTTCAGCCCTCATACTCCAGTCAGAGTGAATTGCTGGCAGCTCTTCTTCACTGCTTCTCTCTCATTTTCACCCTTTACACAAGCAATTCTTTCTGCCCACAGCTTCGTCTCCCACATTTTCTCTGCCTGAAAGTTCTTACTCTTCCTTCATGGTTCAGCTCAGAAGTTACCTTCCCACCGTCCACACTCTCTCCACATTCCCAAATCCACCTTTCCCTGGACTCTGTGGCAATCACGCTTATTCTAAGACAGCCCTTATCACACTGGACTACAATACTTGTCCAGCTGCCCCACTAAACCATGACCTTCTGGAAGGCAGGGACTGAATAATTTTACTGTCTCCTCAGTGCTCGTGCTTTATGGGTGCTGAACACAGGCAAACACTCAGTGAATATTTGTTGAATGAATAAATGAATTATTTAAAATGTCTCCTGCCTCCCGTCCACCACTAACAATGACATACAGAAACACCATCACCCCATCACCACCACCTGCTCTGTAGTGTTTTATTCTCATTCTTGGTCATTTCATGAATCGTATTTTTCATCTTTCCTTCTTGTGATTTGAAAACTCTGCGTTGATATATATAAGCTAACCACTATTTCGAGAATTTGAATAATATATAAATCCCCTTAAAGGGAAGGGCTTCTCCTGGACCACCCCAGTTCCCCCAGGTCCTCCAACCTGGATTTGAAAAACATTAAGTTAATAAAATGAAGTCTTATTCTGTGAAAATGTCTTTCAGTGATGAATTAGCACTGCTAGAGAAGCTTTGTCTATAAAACTTGTAAAAAGAGAAGGAAATGAAAGCAATAAAACAAATTCCCATAACTCGAGGAGCTTCAAGAATATGTTTGCAGACACCAAACTTTCCTGACCCCAGTTTGAGAAACACTGGACTAAACTCTTAGAACTATAAATAACCTGAGGCTACCTCATCCAGCTTTCTTGTCACACAGATGAAGAAGCTGAGACCAGAGGGGGACATGGCTTGCTCAAAATCACACAGCAAGGCAGATTAGAATCTGGAACTAGTGTGCTTGATTCTTCTTAAATCTACTTTCTCGTCTGAATTATCTTGATAACTATCAAACTAACCACACTCCCTGCATATGATTATAACCTTCTTCCCCCTCATTTTTTGCTGGTTGGCTTGATTTATTTGAAGGAAGTAGGTATAAATCCCATGCCCCCACCAAAAAAAAACTATCTTCCTGAGGAATTTATTTCTCCATATGCAATAAAGTAGCAGGTGTTCAAAGCTTTTGAAGAATTAATTGCCTCTTCTTATCATTGATGAAAAAATGGCAGACTGGTACAAAAAGAGATGTTTCAAAAAGTCTACCTCTCTCTGGGAGATAAAGAAAACTCCCACCAAGGGGAAGAGGTCTTGATATGACCCTCCCAACCAAACTTTTCCCACAGCCACACAAATGCCTTCCGACTCACCTCCTTCAATCATCTCCATTTGTTCATTCAGCGTACTAATTAAGCACCTATTGTGCACCAAAGTCCCTCTGAGTCAGGAAACTGAGTCTCAGAGAGAGAAAGTGACTAGCCCAAGGTCACAGATCCAGTGAGTGGCAGAGCCCAGACACGATTAGAATAAAAAGACTCATTTTATTTGAATTCCTCCAGCTCTGGGAAGCAGTTTGCTTTTGGAGCAAAGACCCCATGCACAACTGGTCGATGGATCTGAAGGGAGACACACACTTTAAAATAATAAACAAGAAACCATTTATAAGGAAAGAAAAATTGAAGGGCAGAAAGTAATGAATCACCATTGCCAGTTGGAACAAAAAGAAAAATTAGTTCATAAAAATGCAGTTGGATAAATAATAGGTTATTTCATCATGTAAATATATCCCAAAAATAACTTTATTGAAACGAAAACATCTATCGCAGCCTAAACTATTCATCACGCTAATATGTATCTAGAATCCTAACAAATTTATGAAAACGTTATATTCTGTAATCTTCCTGATCCTCTGCAAATAAATAGTTGTGCTTCGACTGTCTTGTTACGAAATGATTAATCGCAGCTGCCAAAAGGAGCCGAGAAGCTAATTTTGATTTCTCACGTTGTGGGTGGCATTTGGAGGAGTCTCCAAGGACTGTATCTCTGAGTATCGGACCTTCTGGAATGAAGATCTCATTCCTCTGCCTCTTCCGATCTGGGCCAACCTGAGGAAGAATCATCATTATCAGTTTTAAGCTGAGTATAGCTTTTTCCAGCTAAAGAAATTCAAGAGCTTCTTATTGGACAGAATAAGTCAGGAGAGAAAGGAAGGAATTAATACTCACTGCTGTTATTTTATTTTATTCTCACAACACTCCAAGAGATGAACTATTATTATTGACCACAGATAAGGAAATTGAAGCCCAAATTTCCCCAAATCACTTAGAGATTGGCTTAGTAGTAAGGTGACCTAATTGTCCAGGTTCTCCCAAGACTTTCCTAGTTTGAGCTTTGGAAGTCCCATGTCCTGGAAACCCGCTCCCATGTTGGCAAAGTGGTACAGTTGGTCACCATCCCCAGTACTCAAATGTAGGTTTAGCTGACTTCAAAGCCCTGTGCTCTTTGCATTTGTACATCACCACCTCCCCCAAAAAATCTCAGAGGCCATATGTTGGTGGCAGGAACCCTTTGGACTTGGAGACAGAGGACAGGGCTTGAATCTCAGCTGGGCCTCTGGTCGAAGAAGCTGTGTGCCCTTCGGCATGGCTGTTAAATCTCGGATCTTCTGTTTCCTCAACTGTCAAACAGAGGAGGGAGAAAGTGGAGATCAGACTAAATTCTCTCTACACCTTCCTCTCTGCTCCAACATTCTATGAGTCTCATGGGGTTCTGCCTGCCCTCTTGCTCCCTGACCTGGGGAGCATAAAACCTCTTTCATCTCTGTTTAAAATCCTGTTCAATTACCCTTATAATTAGAAAAAAAAATCTTTTTTAACTTTTACTTTAGAAATCTTGTTCCATTTTTTAAAGAGTTTATTTTCGAAGAGAGGCTGGTTCCTATAGGACAAAAAAGTTTCTGGCGGAAACTGTGAATTTTTTGTAAGTGCAAGCTCTTTCAAAGGCAGGAAGGCAGACTGTGAAAGGATGGTTGCTAAGGAGACAATTGTATTTAAATTATCAGCTCACAATAGACCCAGCAAAGATATTGATTGGATGTGAGAGGGTAAAATTATTTTCTTCAAACTGGGAGAAAACTGAGGGTCTGGCTAGAGGTTCATCCTTCCTGAGGTGGAGAGAGACTGTTGACTGTCCTGTTTTTCTTTGTTTAATTGGAGATGCTAAGAATTGAAGGAAAGATGCTTGCTTTATGTCCTCCATAATAGTCTCTCCCTCATGTTCGCTGGAACCAGGAGAAACGAGTACATAGAGAAGGAAAATTTGTTGTGTTCTCTAAGAAACTAATGGTTCAAAGGGAAGTTTTTCGAACAACCCTGAAGCCAGCACATATGAGTAACTAATAATAGTAGAAACATCCATACTACTTTCTACATAGGAAAGTATTCTTCCAAGCAATTCTCTGTGTTAACACATTTAAGCCTCACAATAACCCAGTGAGGTTATTATTAATATTTCCATTTTACAGACAAGGTAACTGAAAAGGATTAGATGTGCCACAAATAGTATATGGCACGGCAAGAATTTGAATCCAGGCACCTAGCACCAGAATCCACACTGCCACCTTACATCAAGCTGCCTCTCCAAAGATTTGAGTCCACATTGGCATAAAAACCCCATAGCCTATGAACTATGTTCCAGGAAAAGTGTCTTCAATTAAAGGTGTCAGATGGAGATAGAAAGATGTGTGTTAGTCAAGCCTGGAGAGAAAATCAGGATTTGATTAAGTTGTAACTGATAACATTCAAGGACTAGTGATAAAATTAACACATTGTATCTAGATGTGATTCCAGTCTCTTCCAATCTTATAAGAAAGGAATACCATTTTTATCTACTCTTTGACTTCGAGGTTGTTTAATAGCAAAGAAGACTCCTCCTTGAGTTAGCTCAGGCAAGGAGTGTTCACCAGGCTCAGGGTAGCTGAGCAGGAAGGTACCAGGAACCAGGGCTACCAGCCGTGTGGTTTCTGCTTCTCCCTGAGCCCTCTCTCTTGGCCACGCTCCTCTGCTTCTCCCCATCCTAAACTGGCTGGCAGCTCCATGTCTTATAAGACTTATCCTCCAGTGCCCACTACTGGTCCTCTTTGTTCAAATTGTCCCAAGATAGAACTGGTCATAGGCCAGCCATTTAGTGGGCCAGAAGACCATAATTGTGGTCCAAACACCTGTGAATCTTGAGTAGGGATAGGGGATGGAGGGAAAGAGGCCTTGTGTCTGCCCTTTACTGGACTGTTATTTAATGTTCATGTTCAAGTATATTAATTCTTGCTTCTGTCCCCACAATAGTAGTGAGTTGAGCCAGGATACCTGCAGTGCTGACCTCAGATTTCATGTGCGTATTTTTTTAATCAATTATTTCAGATCAGTTTTAAGTCCTTACTGGCAATAAACAAAAAACAGCATAAAAATAAAGAGGAAGTATCAATTACCCCTGAAACCATCAATAAAGGTCAAGTGAGTCAACGGATCTGATCTCAAGAAATAGAAAGTTAGATGTAAATTTTTATAGTAACCAACAGAAGAACTCACTGCTTATGGTAGCAAGATATGGGAAACAATTTAGATGGCCATTAAAAAGAGATTGGTTAAATAAATTAAGATACATCCATATGATAAAATAGCATCCGGCCATTAAAAAGAACGTGGTAGATCCAAAGATATTGACATGGACCATTGGCCAGGGTGTATTAAGTGAAAGAGTAAAACTTTTCACTAAAAAAAATGCACAACAGTATGTTTTAGGGAAAAGAAAGAGTCTATGAAAATGTGTTGGTTGAACAGAGTGCCTCTGAGGGGTGCAGAAGAAACGAGTGACAGTGGGTGTTTCCAGAGATTTTGCAACTGGGGGTCAAGGATAGGAAGAAGGAGGCTTATTTTCACTCCTTCAATTATTTGTATCGTTAATATGCATTATCTCTTAAAAGTGAATTTTCCTCAATAGATGATAGAGAGATGATAGATAGATAGATAGATAGATAGATAGATAGATAGATAGATAGATAGATAGATATAGATGGATGATAGATATAGATAGATAGATAGATAGATAGATAGATAGATAGATAGATAGATAGATAGATATGGACAGATAGATAAACAGGTAGATACCGACGGATGGATAGATGGATAGATAGACAAATAAATAGATAGATATGGATAGATGGTGGGATGGATGGATAGATGGATGGATGGATGGATGGATGGATGGATAGATAGACAGTAGATAGAGATATATTCATGTATGTCATATATATGCGTACATATATATACGTGTGTATACACATACACAGGTATAGATAGAGATATGGATATGGATGTGAATGTGGATACAGATACAGATATGGCTACAGATACAGATATATCCCAGGTATTCCTGGAGTGTCCCTTTCCCTTGTAGACCCCTCAGGAAGGTGAGGCATCCCTGGGACCCTGCTCTCATCTCCAGTCTTCTGCTCAGATCTTCTCTCTGGTTGTGTGAAACCCCTTGAGGCTTACAAGATGCTTCCACATCTATTCAATCCTCATAACAACCCTTCGAGAGGAGAAACTAGGGAGTCATCCTCTCCATTTTACAGACGAGGAAACATGCATCTTGAAGCAGCCTAGAGAGTCTAGGTCTTCTAAATCCCACACCCCATGCTCCTCCCACTTGACCAGGATACTGTTGAACAGGATCTTCATTTTACTCATCCCTGGAGGCTCAGCCACCACCCTCCTCCTCCTTAAAGCCTTCCCAGATCCCTCCCCTGCCCTCCCACCATGCCCCCAGCCGTGTGATCTGGGCATCCCTACCCCAACCAGATGGGTGGCAACTTTATTTACTTCTTTACCTATCTGCCTCCCCTACTCCAAATGTGAGCCCCTAGGTCAATAAGTTCTTATTCCCTTCTCAACCCAGTGCCTAGCGGGTGCCTGGCACCTAGAAAATGTTCAGTAAATGTTTGTCAAATAAATGATTCAGGGAATGATCATTCCAGAGCCTGGAGGCTTCATGTGATTTGAGTTACTGCATTTTTTTTTCCCTATCTAGAAAGAAAAGCTCCCAGACAACCCCTCGGCTGTGTTCAGATATTGTAAATAATTGATCATAAAGATGAAATGCACAGGCTGGACAGAGACCAGGGAACCTGTCAATATCATGGGAAGAAATCTCCATTCACGGCGGCCCAGTGCCCGTGCTGGCTTCCCAAGACCGTTAAACTATCACTGCAGCTCAGGCATTAAGTTGGAATAAAGTGTTTGTGTTTGTTTGTTATCATTTCTTAGTAAAACTAATTAAGGAACTAATTGATTGTTTTGTTGTTCTACTAATTAACTCCATATGGTGCCCATTTCCATAGAGATAGACTATGAGTTATGGGAAGGACTCTGATTCAATGTGTCATTTCTGGGTTTGGGGACAATCTTTTAGAATTAAGTATCCTTTCCAATCTTATTTCCCTGCATAACTGCAGCCACGTTCCTGGCCTCTCCAGATCCTGGAGGATGGGGAGGTGGGGCTGCCAAGACCGGCCAGGAAAGAACTGGGGAGAGTAAAGAGCATCAAGGCTGGAGCAGGTGGTAGAGAAAGCTCTGGGCTGAGACAATAATCATAATTATTGCAGAAGCTTCCACTTTTAGCACCTACTATGTACCTGGCACCATGCTGAACATGGTACATCCATTACCCCACACCCTGTCAATGACTAACCCCCACATTAGTGGTCCCATTTTGCAGAAGAAGAAACTGAGTTTTCAGAGTCACTTGCATGAGGTTATCCAGCTAATTCATTTGTTCACTCATTCATTTATTCAACAAATATTTATTCAGCACCCTCTATGGGCAAGGCACTGTTCTAGCCTCTGGAAATAGCTCTAGATCAAATTAGATCCTTCTCCCTCAAGGAACTTATATTCTACAAGAGGGAGACAGGTAATCAATAAGAAAACAAACAGGATTATTCTAGATAATGACAAAGGCAAGGAAGAAACTAAGTCCAGGTGGTAAGACAGAGCAACCAGGGTGCTATTTTAAGTCAGGTGGTTAGGAAAGACGTCTGTGAACAGGTAGCATTTGAGCTGGAACCTGGATGAGAAAAAGGAACCAGCCATGTGACTATCTCAGGTGAGAACCTTCTGGACAAAGAGAAGAGCAATAGAAAGCTAAGGTAGGAAGGAGCTTGCTGTGTTCCAGGAACCAGAGGAAGTCCAGACTGAGGGAGGCATGGGGAGAGGGAAGGGGAGGTGAGGTCAGACAGGGGAGCAAAGCCAGGCCACAAGGCCCTTAGACGTTGTGGGAGAGCAACGGGAATTCACAGCGTGGTAGAAGTATGCAGCCTTGGAAGTCGGACATATTGAGTTCAAATCCTGCTTTTGCTTTTTAGTAGCTAGATGACCTTGGAAAAGAAATTCAGCCTCTCTGAGCCCCAGTTTTTACATCTCTGCAGTGGGAAAAATAATGCCCACTTCCCGATGAGGTTATCAGGAGTTTTTAAGAAAATATATGTAAAATGCCCAGCACGATGTCTATTAGGAGCAGTCCTTCAGGTTCTCAGTAAACATGTATGAGAGGGGTCCATATGAGATGGGATTTAAGTGACCAAATTCTATTTCCAGCACCCTCCGCCCGGGGGTTTCTAGGAAAGGAAACTGATCCCAAGTATTCTGATGGATAATCGAGTGACAGCCATGTTAACAGAAAAGCAGGAACACGATAGGCCCCGAAGTAGGACTTCTGTGTCAAAGTTGAGTTCCAGAAGGAGGCTGAGGCCAGAATTCGAGGAAGAGCTTCCGGTCCCTTAACCTGGGCCTGCCCCAAAGAGCCACAAGGGAGGAGGAAATCCATCTGCCTCTCCCTGGGTCTCAGGCTGCAGAGCGAGCTGGGGAGCTGGCTGAGCCTTCTGCCTTCCGACCGGATGCTTCCTCTCCCCTGTCATGGACACAGAGGGAGCCGACATGTGGAGGATCATGGCCGTTCCATAAGGGGCCATGATGAGAGAAGGCAGCAGGGCTGACAGTGCTTCCTGAGTGGGGAGCAGACACTAGCATGGAAGTTCCAACCTCCCTGGGCCCACAATGAATTGAATACTAAGGGGTAGAAATGTTTCCCCTTTTCTCCCCTCAAAATTGAATTATCAGATGTGTACTATGACAGCCAAAAAAATGTGTTCACAGAGCTGTACTCCCACAAATAGAGCATTCATATTGATGGAGGTGACAGGCCCACTCCATTTGGCCCTGACTGGGCAAATCACACCTGGAGCACAGTGTCCAGTTCTGGATGCCATGGCTTGAAGTGGACGTTAATACTACTATGTATTGAAGAACCCATTTTATATTTAAGAAACCAAAGTCCAGAGAGATAAGTGACCTCCCCAAGTTCATCCAGCAGGAAGTGGCAGAGTCAGAATTAGAACCCAGGTCTACCTGACTCGATAGCTTGGGCTGTTGGTGCCTCCAAGCAATCATGATGGTGGTTAGGGGCAGGCGGGGTTTCACAGACATGTGGGCACCCAGGTCTCACTCCAGTTCCCTCTAGAAACCAGGCTTAGGAAGATCAGAGTATTGGTCAGGCAGCAAATATTATGACACTCCTTCTATATGCCAGGTCCTGTTCTAGACCCTGGGGATACAATTTCGAATAGGACAGACAGGATCCCTGCCCTTGATATGCTTAGTTTCTAGTAGGGTGAAACAGACAGTGAACAGGGAAAAATAAACAAAGAAAGGAAGGAAGGAAGGAAGAAAGAAAGGCAGGAAGGAAGAGAGGGAGACGGAGGGAAAGAAAATTTCAGGTACGGATCCACGTTATAAAAAATATTAGCTAGTATAACAGAGAATGCCTGTGAGGCTGGTTTAGCCAGGGTGGCCGGCAAAGGGCTCTCTAAAAAGTGCCTTTTGAGTTGAAATCTGAAAGATGAGGTGACAACCAGGCAGAGGACACAGGCAATGCAAAGGCTTTGATTCAGGAATGAAGTCGGTGGCCATGTTCAAGTGTTCGAGTAGACACTTGAATATAAAGGTCCAAAGTTCATTGTAGAAGCTCAGTCTTAAAATATAAAATCAGATATAGAATCAAGAATTTTTCAGCATTTAAAGGACACCATTTGATGCGATCATCTAGGGAACAAGTGCAGCTAGGGAAGAGAAGGAGCTGAGGACAGGGGCCGGGGGTCCTGACTGAAAAGCCTGATGAAACCAGCAAAGACTGAGCGCGTGGCCAGGGAGGGCCAGGAAGATAGAAAGAAGGCCAGGAGAAGTGGGTGTAAGAGAGGGACATGTTTCAAGAGTTAGGAAGTGAGTGACCATGTTAGTCCTGCAGAGAAATCAGCACAGCGATGCCTGGAGTTAGCCTTGGCTTTGGCAAGACATCAGTCATTTGTGACCTTGATATGAGCTAGCTCAGTGGAAGGAGGTGGGAGAAAGCCCGATTGGAGTGGATTGAGGAGAGAACAAGAGCTGAGGAGGTGTAGAGTGCCAACAACTCTTTCAAAGAAGTTTGTTTTAAAAAGGAGTATAGAAACGGCACAAAAAGCTGATGGTGATCTTAAGGCATCCTTGTATGCCCATGGGAACAGCTCAGTACAGAGGAATTGGTGATATTGGGTAAAGAAAGAGAAAGGATCTAACGAAGTCCTCTGAGGATGCAGGAAGAGATGGAACCCCAGGCTTACATGGCAGACTTGACCCTTGATGGAGCCACAGACAAATCCAAGACACTATCCTTGCCCTGGGCAGGACTTGGCCTACAGGTGAGATCCCTTGCTGGTGCCTCCAGGTTGAGGGCTGTGTCTTCTCCTCTACTTGTGCCCACCCTAGACCTGGCCCCATAGTGGCCTCTCCAAAGCATATGGTCCTGGCATGGACCCTGTGATAGAGTGGAACCACCCCCTCTAGGTACATTCTCCCAGCCGAGCACAGTTCTAGGAGTATACTTATGCTATTCATAATCTTCTCAGCAACACTGAGATGTTTGTACCTCCACTTTAGAGGTGGCAGGAGATCTGACTTCCATCCTGCCTTTGTCATTCCCTGCAAAGTCAACCCCTCCCCCCATCTAGGCTTCAGTTTCTTCATCTATAAAATGAGGAGGTGGGGCCAGGAACTTCCAGAAGGCCACAGAGAATTCTAAAAGGGGGCAAACTTGCCATCTCTTGTGTCATTTCAGTTTCCCGCAGTCCCTGAGACTTTATGAGAATTGGGAGTAGTTAGCCCGGGAACGGGTTCTCCCACCCATCCGTCCTCTCCCCAAGTGCTCAAGTCAGCCTCCCGCTCACAGCAAATGCAGCTGCTCACCCAGATTCTCCCGAATCCCCTCCCTGCCTTCCCCCCTCCAGTCCCTGTCTCTAACCTTTCCAATTGTTTATTTCCTCTGATGTCTGAAGCTCCAGGATAATTGTTGCAGGAGAAGCAATCAGCTCAGCCTTCGACAAGTCATCGAGACAGATAGGCAAGCTGGGGTATTAGGCTGTCAATTTCCAGGCCCTTCCAAATGTTAGAACAATTTTAGTGAATTACAAGCAATAGAAAATCATTTTGGGTGCTCATTAGATGGAAGGCAGGAACGATGATGAATGCCTGGAAGCGGAGGCAGAGGCAGGCTTTCCCAGAGCCAAAAGCCCACCTTCCAGCATCTTCCAGGGATGGCTCACTTAACCCTCCCTCTTCTGGAGAAAGCGCAAGGAGCCCCCCAGGTTTGGTGAGTGGAGATTATCCCTCCGGGCCTTGGACAATTCACTGTGAATTTATAGAGCACCCACTGCCTAAGTCAGGTCCCAGGGACAAGCAAGACATACTTGCAATTCTGTTGCTCAGGCCAGTGAGAGAGGTGCACAGTGACATACCCACAAAAGAGAGAACAGACAAAGGACTATGCGAGCAAGGAGGAAAGAGAGACTGATTCTGACCAGGGGTGGGGGGTGAAGGCACCTTTACAGAAGAGACATCATTTGAGTAGGGTCTTCAAGATTGAGTAGAACATTAAAATAGACTCTTACTCCACCATTAACAGTAATAATAATAATAATAATGGCTAACACATATAATGTTTATATTCTATGTTCAAGTCTTGAAACTAAATGTGTTACATATATATTAAATTATCTAATAATTCACAATTACTCTTAGGTAGATACTATTATTAACCTCATTTTATAGATGAGGAAACTGAGGTACAAAGAGGTTAAGTAATTACCTAAAGAATTACAGCCAATAAATGTCCAAGTAGAGATACATAAGAAATGTAGAAATGAGTCATCTGAAGCAGGCCTGGGGTAGTTCTCACAGCTTTTTAGAGAAAATGAGAGATGACTGATGACTAGCAGGAGCATCAGCCAGGAAGACCAGAGTTCATTTCCAGGATCCACCACTTACTACTCACGCGGCTACCCAGGTGACTTGGCAGAGTTGCTTACACTTTCTGAGCCTCATGTTCCTTAGAGGAGTTAGAATGGTCCCAGGTGTCCAGCAGTGATATCCATAAATAGTGGCAGGTGACAGTCAGCGCCAGAAAACCGGATCTGCACTCATTCCATCATTCAGAGCACCCATTAAGCACCTGTTGTGGGCCCTGCATTGGGTTAATTGTTGTGGGGAGAAAGATAAATGAGACCAAGTCCCTGCTCTGTTGGGAAATGCAGTGTGGTAGGAAATACTTGAATGTATTAATCTGTGTGCTTGCTCCCAGACTTGGGGGTCACTGAATTCTTTCAATTGGGCCCCAAGGGTCTCTCCTCTCCCTTACTCACCAGGCTGCACACGTAGGTATAATTCATCCTCTGTGGAGTATGAAACAAAAGTCGCTGTGAACACTGCCAAATGCAAAAGGAGTCAGACGTACATCAGCAGAGCTAGATTTTCTGATTGGAGAGACCGCATAAAAGACAGAAGAATGAAGAAAGAGAGAGAAAAATTTGGGAAGACCATGACGACCAGAGAGGGTGGAATGGAGATTTGCTTAGAAGAAGAAAAGGACCTTGAACCTAAAGTGGCAGCATATACTGGAATACAAACTGACATAGCAGTATCTAAGGGGTGGCCAGAGATCAGTCCCATGAGCCGCTGGTCACCCAGCTTGCAATGGTGTTTATCTATTCCCCACAGACTGTACTTCTGATTGATCCATCCCATGAAAACCATCCATGGTCCCAGGGTCTTTGACACTTGCAAGGTCCCCAGAGCAGAGGATAGAGGCCTTGGACATCTCATGGGATGATCATGACCTGAAAGAAAAATGTCAACCTCTGACCAAGGTGGGACTAGATGGAGCTAGCTTGAAATTGCCTCATTTCACTGTCTGGAGAAGGCATTGGAGATGTGTATGCTAGGATGGAACCTGCCCGGTGTCCTAGGTCACAAAGGAGAATGAGACCAATTCTACCAGTGGAAACAAGGGGGAAGGGTCAGGAAAACCTTCATAGATGAAGTGACCTTTCAATTAAGTCCTGGCCCCAACCATCAGGTCTTAGAGTGGAAAGGGACAGTCACGAAGCTCAGCAGTGGCAAGATTAAGGTTTTACCTGAAGGGCTTGGGTAAGCAGGAGGTACCAAGACAGAAATATGTCTTGGGATAGAAAACATCCCTCAGATCTGGACCAAAAAGGAAGTGGAGGGAGGGGGCTCAATCTTAGAGCCTGAGGCCAGGGCCCCTCTTGCCTCACATCAGAGACTGTCCTAGCCTTGGTATCAAGATGAAGTCACAGACAGGGCTCAGGTGGCTCCAGCATTGGGGGCGGAGTGTGGAATAAGGCAGGGTCTAGAAGCTGGCCAGCACTTGATACATAAAGATGGAAGAAAAACATTGGCACTTTGATCCCAAAGCCAACTGCCTAAGTCCAAGATAGAATAAATATAAGGAAAGAAGTTTATATGAAAAAGATTTAAAAATGGAAGACAAGGGCTGCCCAGTGGTGTAGTGGTAAAGTTTGCACACTCCACTTGCATGGCCTGGGGTTCATGGGTTTGGATCCCAGACGCAGACCTACACACCACCCATCAGGCCATGCTGTGGCCGTGTCCCACATGCAAGGTAGAGGAAGACTGGCATGGATGTTAGCTCAGGGACAATCTTCCTCAAGCAAAAAGAGGATGATTGGCAACAGATATCAGCTCAGGGCCAATCTTCCTTACCAAAAAAATAAGAGACGAACACAAACTCTGTAGATTTGCAGGTTGTCATGAATGCATGACAGTCAGATGTACAGTCAGGATTTCCTAGAGGCATTCTTTCAAGCTGGTAGAAAGAACAGAAAACTGAAGATGCTTGGACAGGTGGCCCGATAAAAAGCACCTGGGCTATGAAGTCAGACAAACATGGGTTCAAATCCCGACTGGGGCATTTAGTAGCTGTGCAAGCTTGGGGGAGCTATTTCACTTCCCTAAGCCTTAGTCACCTCAGCTGGAGGGGTGATTTGGAAGATTAAAGAAAACAGATGTAAAGCAGCTGATAGAATGCCTGACACAAGATAGGTGGCTCAAAATATAGTAGTTTTAATGATGATGAAGATGATAATGATGGTGATGATGGAGGTCGTGGTGATGATGATGATGATGGTGGTGGTGGTGATGATAGTAATGATGGTGATGATGATGGTGGTGGAGGTGGTGCTAGTGGTGATGATGAGGATGATGGAGGCGGTGGTAGTGGTGATGATGAGGATGATGGAGGCGGTGATGGTGATAACGGTGATGATAATGGAGGTGGTGGTAGAGATGATGATGATGATGATGATAATGCAGATGGTGGTGGTGGTGGTGATAACAAATAAGATGATAATGTTTCCCTCTGATTAATCCCGGCTGTGACGACCCTTTCTCACCACACCCTATAGATCTTGGATATTCTTAAAACCTTGAGAGATGGAGAATAAGCATGCAGGTGGATAGTAAAAGAAGTGTTACAGCTGTGGGCCCCTGAGAAGAGAAATACTGTTTCATAGTCAGCTGAATCTCGTACTGAGGATGGACAATAAAAATGCTGTCATTCACTGGGCCCTCACTATGGGCAGCAAAGCTCTAGATGCTTTCATGTTCATCCTCCCGTTCACCCCACAACACTCTGTGAGGGAGGTAGGGACAGTACTCCCCTCAGAGGAAACAGCCTGTGCAAAGACCCTGAAGGGGAGGACTTAGATGGCTGGAGAATGGAGAGCAAAGAGGGGAGTGGGGCAAGATGAGGCCGAACACAATAAATGAGCCAAGACCCATAAACCTCCTAGAGTGGTGCCTAGCACACAAAAGTGATCAGTAAATTCAGACTCTGTGTCATCATTGTCATCACAAAGGACTCTGTAAGAGTCGGGGTTATACCAAGATGGCAGAACTGCTGCTGCAGGAGGGAAAGAGCTCCCTGTCATGGGAGGCATGCAAGCAGTGGTCATCAGACTTTTTAGGGGATAGACTGCAGAAGAGCAGACTGAAGCATTGTATTGGGGTACAGCTTGGATCTACAAGGTCTGGGAACCATTCCAACCATTACTCCCTACAAGCTGCTGAACTGAGAGGAAAGGGGCTTAGTAGTCATGGAGATATTTGGGGTGCCCTTGAGAGCCTTCCATGTAGGTGGACCCCATTTCCCCAGGCATCTGGCCATTACCATCTGCCTGGGCCAGAGGTAAATTTTGCAGAGGTGCCCGCCCAACCCTGGGCATAAATGCCCCAGAAAGGCAGACTTTCTCTCCGTGCCCTGAACCCTTTTGAACTTGTCCTGCCTCCTTTCTTCTCGCATTTTAATGATTCCATTCTCTCCACCAACCCCCTCAACGGC